CTCGACTGTTTTACAGTGGGATTTGTATATATAACGGGTGTTTACAAGAGAATGATTATCTGTGCGCCAAATCGCCAAGAAAAATATGCATACTGATTATAGAGGTAGATAATAAAGATGAGAGATACTTGGTCATGCCTATCTGCTTGGACTAGAATCACAGTTTGTGTTTTGTAACACTGGCGTAGCCACGGGGTCGGCTAGGGGGCACTTGTTTCATGTCACCGAATTGATTTTAATACTGGAAGATAGATATTAAAGAAGAAGGAGAGGAAGGAGGATGGGAGGGAGAAGAGGAGGAGGAGACGAAGAAGACGGTTGAGGGAGAGAGGAGAAGGAAAAGAAGAAGGAGAAGAAGGAGGAGAAGGAGAAGAAGAAGGAACGTGATTATTTTGATTATGAAGAAAGAGTGAGGGGAAATCAGAATGTTGGAAGATATTTTGACCACTCCCAGACCATGCCTCGTATTTTGTTCGCCTTGTATAAGACATCTGCCCCTCTCCAAATAAGCAGCAGCTACACCTCTGTTCTGCATAATTACCATCTAATAATTGTTTTCGCTCGAGGGTGACATCGGAACAAGTGCCTCTGTTTTCTTTTCTAAAATGTAGCATGAAGTCACCAAGGAATAGCATAACATCGTCTTATGTTATCAAAACCCGACGTACAAATTAGATTCAACTACCTGTCTTCTGAATCAAATTTAATGCTTTTGCCTTTAATCACGAGCTGCAATGTTAAGTTTTGGAACACGTTCTCTTTCTTAAAGCCGATTCCCTCGACAGGAACTGGAATGCCTCGAAGCAATGTCTTGTACGTGTATACTAATTTCTTGGGAAGTCTTGACAGTCAAGGCCCAGCCTCGCCGTGGGGAACATCTTTTTATTCGAGACCCTTTATGGAGGTTGCTGGTTGAAGCTCTTGGCCAATAAACAGAAGTACTTTTCTAGGAAACAGGATGAACACCAGAAATAAGTTGATATCTTTAAAACCGAATCTTTTGCTTGCCATTATTTTGACTCAACAGATTTTTTTTCTCTTTAGAACTTATTCTGACGAAAAAAATAGGTGGTTTGAAATAAATACATTTTCTCTTAACAGCGGGTCAAAATTATGTGAGCATTTTGTAATAATTTATTTTGACTGAAATATATAAAACTGAGAAGGAAAATTGTTCGATTTAAATGTAGATGACTGACACTATTTTCCATTGTGTTTTCGTTAAAATAGTCTTGACAATGGATGAAGAAGTACGGTAGACCTATTTTTTTTTTAATCCAACCGTATGCAATATTCCGCATAGTGAAAAACAATAATGTAAAATTCACAATCAATATTACACGGCATTTTGTCGAGCAAAATGCGACCCCTTTTTAAGCCCCTTCCAGAATGAAGCAAATAACAAATTATTCTTGCCTTTTCGACGCTCGAATTATGATTCATCGAGTTGAAACCAGGGTTGATTCACGGCTCGTAGAACATCAATTAGCTTCCGGGTCAATGAATCGAACGCCTGATCGATCAGACAAGGGCAATGATATTGACGATCGCACTTGTATTTAAGAACGCATAGTGTCAGGGTATTTGCCGTGCAACTTAATGATGTGCCGGTAGAATATCGACAAATGACTCACTTTAAAGGGACTTTAGATGCCAATATTTCATATATTTACAGTAGACTACACACATGTAGATATCTACTTTAGATTGGAACATGTTGAATATTGCAATGACAGTGAGGCATTAATCTTTTGGATGTTAAAGAAAGATATACCTGTCCTCAAAGTGAATGGGGGTATAGTTTTATGTAAATTGGCAAAAAAAAAATTGAATAGCAGGAAATCCATTGAAATATGGACTGTCGCTTAATGATTCCTTGTAATAGACTTATTCGCCATGTACTATACCATGGACCTACTACTGAGCATTAACAAATTAATTGTAAATAACTTTAATAAAATTTTGACCGTTTATGTTATGTCCTTTTCAAGCAACTGGGACACTACGAAAATGTTATGTGAACATCTTTCTAAAAGATATTTTTGCTTTTAATAATGTTCGATATTTTAGACAGTGTTCAATACAGTGTTTCCAATATAGTCCAACTGACATCATTAACGTTTTACTGTTGACACCCATACGCGATACAATACAGGTATAATATAGCTTATAACAGTTTATGTTTTTTAGGAAATACCCGAAACATAAATCTTTATGATTAGTTATCAAACATAATGAAGGTATCATATTACTCATGAGACCTGGGAAAACCTACTGTTTTCTGACATTAATACCTTCATGAAACGAGCACATAGATTATGTGGTGTTAGGAATTAATGACTAATCTCGTGAAATACGAGAGTACTCGCCATTAAGCTTGAATAATTACTTCAGTAAGGACAAAGGGACTTATATTACGCGTGATAATCGTATCTGGAAGAGCGATAATACACTACGAAGGTTCAACGACTTATTACTCGCCACACTGTAGCGAAGCATGTGTACAGCCAGTGAAGGGGCACTTGTATATTGGGGAGGGGGGCACCGAGCTATGTAGATGATTAGAAAGTTAGGGGATAGTTATAGGGTAGGGTATGCAAGAGGTCGTTTAATCACGTACTATCATATTCGTCATCTCTCTCTCTCTCTCATTGTTGTTTTCGCTGATTTTATTTTCGTTGATGGGAGGGTCGTAACCCCCACGTGGTGACCCCCTAAAGCTACGCCCCTGACTCCACATGCTCTACGGAAGCGTCGCTAAGCGTTACAGAACCGGATAGGTAAACGTGATACGGGTACCGCTAAACATAGTTGGACAGCATGAAATGCGAGACAATAATGTTTCGCCGTTGACAAAGGGGATAGACTCATTTTTAATGAAGAAAACGTGACCACGTTTCACTTAATTCCTCGCGTTGTCTAAAAGATTCGAGCATGAAATTGAAGGTAAAATGAGTATACATGAACATGTTACCGGATCGTGTTGTATAGCGCATCTTTACAGGTATTTGAATATGTGAAGATGCACTCAAACAAATGCCTGTAAAAAGAAATTCCCAATTATACGTGTTCGTTCAAAGTTAATATACTACGGTTATAAGAATAATGAAATGTGTCCACATCTTCTTTAGATAGTTTTCTAAAAAATTCGTAATAATAATCCCACCGCCCCCCCCTTTTTTCTCTCTCTCCCTCTCTCTATCTCTCTTTCTCTCTCTCTCTCTCTACATTATATCTCCCCCTCTCTATCATTCTCATTCTACATGTAATTTCCCATGTCTAATTCTCTCCCTTAATGTCTCTCCCATTTATAATAGTCTCATTCACTTTGAATATTATCAACGAGCTATTCACACGTTTTCATTTAAAAACAATCCTTTTGAATTCTTCTCTGCTTGAGACCCAGTTCATTGCCCCTTTCCTATCGTAATATGTCTCCACCCCTTTTCATTTCCCTCTTCACTCATCATTCGAATCTCCCTCCATGTAATCAAAATAATGACTCGTCTCTCATCTCATAAATACTCTCACCCTCAACAAAATGACAAGTATTCCAAGGAAACATTAGGGAGATCCCTCGGGGTATTATCCAACATCAACCCCAGACCCCGTCATGCTCATGCTAAAAATAATGTTCAACATCAATGGGGGTAAAATCATTCCGGGATGTTAGGAAGGGGTGGTCACATTCAGGCGACGAGACTTCTCGGGCGAACACATTCACACATCCACACGCACAAAAGACCACAAGGACACGCACAAATACACACTCCACCGCTCTCGCGCGCATACACGCACACACATTTTGAATAAACAGTCTTGTACACGACTTTACATATAGATTTTGATGTCAGACTCATTTTACGACCTACTAAACCGATTTTAGTATTTTGATACCTTTTCGAGAAATCTTCGCTACCTGTAAGTGTCACTGATTTTGTCAAAATGTTCAAAAACTAATTGGTTCTGACATAATTTTCCCTTGAAAAGTGTGAGGGGTACATTTAACAGGGGAAAATACACGTTGGCTCGGGGCGAATTAGCCCCCGAAACGCCAAAAAGAGCACCCGAAAGTCATAAAAGAGCCTCCCAAAATTGCATAGAGTTTAATGCAAAACAAAATAAAGAGTGTTATTTTCATGCAAGCAAGCTTGAAAAGTAGCCCCCAAATTTTTTAAAGTATTTTTCCCTGTTGTACAGGTCATCCCCCCCCCCCTCCGAAAGTTGAAGGGGTGTATAACCCCCACTTCCCCATGGATTTACGCCATGTTCGACATGGTCGAGCCCACTGGGGATAATTCCTGTTATGATTACCATGATAGCATCGCCAGGAGACACTAGCTTAATGACCAATCTTCCTCCCGGGCCCAGAATGATTGCAAACACATTAAGAACATACTTTCCGATAATGTCTAGTCCGTGAATAGGGTCGTTTTTATGTGATTGAGGGAGGAATGATGCCACTTTTAGCAATTACATGGTACACCGAGCTCATTGAACTTATAACATGTTTGCGATGTCAAGTTTAAAGAATACATGGCCGTTGCACTCATGATGTGAGCGAAGTTATTATGTCAGTATGCTCTTTCGGATATTATTGTGGATGTCATTTTTCAGTATGGTTCAACCAGTTACGATAGTGAAAATAGTTAGCTGGTTATGATGATGACGATGACGATGTTGGTGATGATAGTGGGTGTGGTGATGGTGATGGTAGTAAAAATCATGTATGATGATGATGAGGAGCAGTAGGTAAATGATAAAAATGACAGTGGTGGTGATGGTGATGATGATGATGATTGTGGTGGTGGTAGTGATGATAACGATGACGGCGACAAATACAGTGATGATGATGATCGCGGCGATGACAGCAGAATAGAAGCTGTAATCACGGTATTCAAACGAAGTAAATTGTACTTGGAATAAGTCCCCCATCTTTAACATTTTACATATTCTTCAAAACAAATCTAATCATTATCTCTTTCAATTTTCCTTTACAGTGAATTGCTGTGATTACGCGCTATGTCGGTGTCTGCGACGAGTCCCGTATGCCACCATCTTCGCCCTGCTCGTCCTCGCCGGCGGGCTGGCGTTGATGACGTACGAGATCCTGCTCATTGACGATACCATCGAAGAAATGTTCAGAGGGACCCATCTTGACCCCCACGTCACCAAGGAACCAAGCAAGTTCTACAAGGGGTAAGATTAATCACGGTTATACCACTTTTAGGAGTACCGTAATGGGGGTGAATACCCCCCCCCCCCCTCCACAAAAGGGGAAAACTGTTTGTACACCCCCCGAGACATCCCCTTCTCCCGAATGATACATATATTTTTTTCTCTTTATTTTTCATGAATAAAAGAATAGGTTTGAATCATTACAGGGGCAAAATAAACTGTGAAAACACTTCCAAATTCATTCCTATTCACGTTGCTCTATGATAGTCCTACTTCAATGACTTCAGTATTCATTGCATAATGGATTGCCAACTCATTTTCAAAACTCTTATTGCGTAATCTGTCTGTAAATTCTTCAGAATGTAAGTTTCTCTGGCTTTAGCGTCACTGCCTCAAACAAGGCGCGGAAGCGCTCAAGGAATTTCTCCCTACCTTGACCAATTATTTACGTCACCTGGGTCGAGTGTGACAAACGTAGATTTGTGTCGTACCCAATGATGTTAGTGCCATGACAGGGATTCGAACCTCGTACCCTTTGATAGCAATACCTCAGTCACACTGCCACACCGACCGATTCTAAAACATTCTGTCGGTTTGGTGTCGGTCTCTTTTTTGGTATGACTGAAGTATTAATCCGGTTACTGAACCAAGAGACCACAACACGTCCGTAATGCATGAACATGCGTGGTTAGAAACACTGCCAGGGAAAGTGAACTCCTGAATGCGGGGGTACATGGGAAGAAATTAATGGCAGATGTAATATTAGGTCATGATTAACCGCACTAAGTTATGTTGGCATGTTATCTTTGATCTAAATTGACAACGTCTTTGGTGGGTAATGACTTCGTAGTTCACATGAGTTCATTGAATGACGATAGTTGCAATTTATTTAGGTCATTGCATGAGTAATGTAGACATACAGAGTAGGATTGTACGATGTTGCATGATGAATAAAATGAAGTTAGACAGATGATTAGATAGGTAGATAGATAGATAGATAATGTAGGTAGATAGATAGATAGGTATGTATGTTTGTAGATAGATAGATAGATAGATAGACAGATAGATAGAGAGAGAGATACAGAGTTAGGCAGATATATCGACAAAGGGAGGGTAAAGGGGCGGGAGGAAAGGAGATACGAGAGGTAGACAGATAGCGAGAATACATTTGAAAGCCCCAAATCCCATGCGCCTAGGAAAAGTAGTAAGGGCTGATGTAGAATACTGAAATATACATTTGTTGTATTTAAAATAAGTAAGTAACCAATTCACAATTGTTATTGTTATAAAGAAAATAAGGAAACAAATCACAGAAACAAACAAAAGAGTCTAGACATATTAAACGTAAAGGTAGAATCGTCCTTTTACGCAATAATACAAAAGTAGAATTAATAACGTCGCTTGTCAACGCCTCTCATCTCCGACTGAATCCTGCAATTCCCAAGTGCTTGAGATGACCAATGAGGGCTGATGTCTGACTCTGAGTGATGATGTTGTTTAGTATTGGGTAATTACACTAAACAAAGACCAATGATGAATTGATTGATCCATCCATCAACTTAATTACTCTGTAGATGGGTAGGAAAGCTCGACCTGCTCTAGCGATTTTTGGAACCCATGTCTGTCTGTAGGGATAGTTATTATGGCCACTTAAAACTTATTAAGCAATCATTTAAACCCAACAAAACTTTTGAATCGCTTTAACTAATATCGACTTTAATGAATACACAGGAATAGAGACATACATGTAGTACTAAGATACACGGGGAAAAGAGATGATTTGATCTGTATGATATTGAGCTGGATAGAGGGACAGGAAAACACAGAGTGACATATAGATATATAGATAGAGGGAAAGCGAGCTAGAAACATAGATAGATAGATAGATAGATAGATAGATATGTAGATAGATAGAGAGAGGGGGAATGTGGTTGAGTAAAATGGATAGATTGATACAAGAAGAGAGAAAAAACAGAATGCTGACTACAGACAGAGTGCAGCCGAATCTCGAGGCCCTATATTTCAAAGAAGGATTTAAACCATGGACCCATTTACGTGCCTTACGAATGATTAAACCACAATTATGGCGGTAAGGTCTTTGTCGAAGCCGCCATTAGCGATTTAGTTGGGGGAGAGGTAGGAAATCATATCTCGCGGCCATATTTAAAATCGATTTTTATTTTACTCTCAACTCAAAACTGGTATTGTATATCATGTTCCATGACGTTCTAATCTAAAACTGTTGACAGCGTGTTTGTATTATTATTTGTTACTCTCGGTGACAAATTAACCCTCAGCCCACTGTGAACATTTTTTCTCAAAGTGCCCCGACGTACATAATGCATAAGGGTGCAATATTTTGTCAGAAGAGCTAACAGTTTTATTTTTATATCAGTATCTAATTTTAGCGAGCGTAAAAAGTTTTAGTAGACTTCATTAAAATTGAATTTGTCATCTAAATATGCAAAATAATACATGTATACAAGTATAAACCGTGCAGAAACCGTGCACCTCGCTGCCCGGATGTGACGTGGTTGCCCGAATATTGGTAATTCAAAATTAGGAGGGGGCAGCAGCCCATCAGCCCCCATCTCATACACCTCAACCTATTATAGAAGATCCATCCATGTACCGACAATGTGACTTCCAGCTGGTTCGATTCGACTTGAAAGTTGGACTAGCATGATGCTCCAACCGTTTAAGTGTTGCTGATGAAGAGAGGGAGGTCCCGTTCATCTTAGATTACAGTTGACATTTAGATTCGTCCTATTCGTCCTCCCGGGGGCTATTTTGAGTGAATCCCGCATCCCCGATCCAGAAAGTAAGCACTCATCAAGCTAGTCATAGAGTGCAGACAACACTCCCTCCTATCCCAACCATTGGTGTAGCCAGAAGGGACGACGTACATCTACCCTGTTCTATTGATAATAGACATTTAGGGATGATCATCAACTTAGTTTGTCTGCATTTAACATTTATGCCGACAATTTATTGAACATTTTGTCGGCACATCCGATCTGGGAAATGCAAGATATTATTGACGTTCAAACTGTCGGTATAGGGCTGACCCCTCCCCCCCCCCCCTTTCCCTACGGGACAGGCTGGCTACGCTTATGACACCACTCCTCCAATCCTGCACCCTTTTTGGAGAAAAAATCGTCTAAATTTAGCAAAATTTTCATTCTTCGTTATTCGTTGAAACTATTTGTTATTGCTGGAAATTATGGACTCTAAAGATTTAAAACTGGAAGGTTGGTATTTTGGCAATAGTGCCCATCCGTCTTTAGTCGACAAATTAATGTTGAGTCTAAGTGTATAAGGGAGGGGGGGGGGGACTAAATTATCTTAACAAGTATACTGAGAAGGGTTGAGACAAAATTTGAAGTCAACAAGTAAACAAACAACAAACAAAAAAGCAAACGAGTAAATGGTTAGAAATAAACAATGTATAACGACAGAAATGTTTAGACAAGTACGTGACATTGCCCCCTCTTCTTGCTCTCTCTCTCTCTCTCTCTCTCTCTCTCACTCTCTCTTTCTATATGTTTCTTTCTCTCTCTCTCTCTCTCTCTTCCTCTCTTTCTCTCTCTCTCTCTGTTTCTCTCTCTCTCTCTCTCTCTCTCTCTCTCTCTCTCTCTCTCTCTCTTTCTCTCGTGACACCTTTTACAATGTATATGAGCATACTTTAGTTGAAAAATAGTGTTCCAAATCATGGAGGATGCTTCGGCCAGCCCCCGCCCCCCCCCCATCCCTCCCATCAGCAGCAGATGATTTTAAGATCCAAGATGGATATGATTTGCTCCTCTTTCCTCTCTTGAGATGGGTATAAGCGATGATTGACAGCTCTCTTAGTACGGGTTTGGATGTGAGAAGGCAATCAAATTAACACGACCCACGTGGCAAATCGTATCAACGTGTGCCGCTTACACGTCTTAAAGGTCCCCTCCATAAGGTCTTCAAGTACTGCTTGCTCTGAGTGACATGTCCCAATTTTTATTTTTCTCGTGCTGCGTGGTCTGCGTCTACATGTCGATTTAGTTTAGAAAAAGCATTTCTACTCTTTTCCATTGGTGATGATTTTGGTCATGTTGGTTTAGGTATGCCAGGTAGTAGTAAATATTTATCATTGGTAAAGCGTCTATAAGGCCTGTTCGTTTTGCTCTGAGTGGTATGTCCCACTTTTTATTTGCGTTGGTGTACATCTACATATCGATTCTACAGTTAAAAATAACATGCTCCTTTCTTCTTCATATTGTGTTCTATGAATATCAATAGCAAACGGAGCTGGTGTTGAAGTTGCTAAAAAGTAAATCGTTGTAGAGGCCTCTCCGTGTAATACTTCTAGTCCACCTTAATGATAATACCTAGACAGAGGCGGCGCTCCGAGGGAAGGGGGGGGGGGCACAGCCCCCCCCCCCCCTACACACACACTTTTTCACGTACCTAAGAGTGCCACTTTTTTACACCGGAAAGTGCCTCTTTTTCTTTCCGGTAAGAGTATCTCCAAACACTGATACCTATGGAATGTTGCCTATTTAATAAGCCTTCTTGCTTTATATCGATCGACTTATCCTTTTAATCACGTTTTGCTTTCCATACGGTATGGAACATTAGTGCCAAGACACATTCAAACGGAAAAGATTTAACAGATGCATCTTAAGATCCTCGCGACATGCATCAAACTCCCTTAGTATTAACAGCCCTCATTTATTTTCAATAGGACATGAATGTTTGCCAATAATCATAGCCTCCGCGCATGTTGCTATGCAAGCGATGATTGCATGTTGTTAATATTTTCTAAACTTCATTTGACTTTGCGAGAAAAAAAGATGTCTGACATAAGGAATGTCTCGAATTGAAGGCGTTATCAAATTGCGGTTGGTGAATGGGAGATTACAAAAGAATGTAAATCATTAATAACGATAATAATAATAATAGTAACATGGTAGAGGGCCCAAGTAGCCATCACATTAGTACCCCAGCTTAATGAATAGCATTTTGTTAAGGCTATCTTTACAATA